TCCCAAATATATGATAATTCTTACGCCACTAATGTATGGCTGAGTCTCCCGGATGAGTATGAGTCCCATGATTACACCAAAAAAGTACGGGATCAGTTGGTTGTACGTGGCGAATATGAATATGCCCACTTTCTCTATGGGAAACCTAATTGTACAGTAAATATATATACTAAACTTACTACCGGCGCTAATAAGCTAATAAACCAATGAATTATATGAAGTCCCAAAAACTGCTTACTTATTCTGCGGGTGCAAAAAGATGGAGGGGTTGGGCGCGTCCGATATGCCGGTTAACACGATGAGCACCGGTATGGCGAAGCCCAGGATAATCATTAGGGCGATGTATAGGCGGCTCAACAGTTTGGTTCGGTACCAGAAAAAGATGACCACATATAGCAGTATATGGAGCTGGAAGTCGGTGCTCATGTACCAGGTTATGTTATTGCACTGGTAGTATAGAGGGGAACGGGTGGTAATTAGGCATCAGATATTATAAGTATATTTGTAATATGAAGTTTTAATTGCTTTTATGGGATAGGGGTGGGGTATATGTACCATAGTGGACGGGTGCATCCAGTTGTTGATAAACAACAGGTTAGTCCACCACGAGGTATAACAGGGTTCAGTGACACTATCGGTGAGGTCGGAGTGAAATAAGGGTCCGGAGCCCAGTAGTGGCCAAATCACGAGGAAACATATCATACCGATGGTGGGCGGTGCGAATCTAACGGTGCGATTTGTATGTTTTAAATATGCATAATTACCGGTGAATTATAATTATAATAATTAACTATAGATAGCAAACAGTGTCCCATAAACTCGTTAATTACTAACCAAAAAAGCCTATCGTCTGGACCCTTGTGTGTAAAACCTTCAATGAGAAAATCCTGGGTAGTATTACTAACTGTTAGAGTTATTCATTTACTTTTATTATTGGCAATTGAATTTTAATTGATTTTATGCCACAAACCTTAAACAAATGCAATGTATTTGGCTTTAAAAACATTTCGTGACTATTTTATGATATGATTTATATAATTAATAAGCGATAATAAGTGTTTTGGGGAAATGTTTTTCAAAACTTTAGAAAGTTTTCAGTCAAAATGCAGTACTTATTTTTCAATGCGTTTTTTCCTGTATTTATTTTATCACTGGTTTTATCAATGAATTATCACAATGAGGAGAGAGAGAGAGAGAGCGAGAGAGAGAATTAGGTTATCATTTAAAATACACACACTTTAACCCCCTTATAGTTATAGCGATTCCCTTATAAAGTAAATACAGTAAATATCTCAAAACCATATAAATTACCCACATTTATAATGCATTCCCATATAGTGAACAGAGATTTAAGTCATAAAACATACAGGTGCTAAAGGGAACTGTAGTTTTTTGAGTTTGTTTAAACACGTAATAATTATTGAATACCTGAGCCAACGAAGCAAAATATAGTTGAAAACATTGATCGGATTCTTCTCGAAAACAGGAAGTATTGAGTATATAGTGAGTGAACCGCTGTAGGGATTGCCGGATAAGGTGTGGACAGGTATTCAGAAAAACATAATGAGATTAAGAAAATACTGTTTACAACATAACAGTTGCTTTTAAAATCAGATTTTCAAACATAGTTTTAAATTATAATAAAGTTATTTAAAAAAAACTTTCTAAAACTTATAATAATTATTAACTAGCTACAAAAAAACTTAATTACTGATCAAATCTATGTTTGAAAACATGTTTATCGCATATATAAACCTAATTATATAAAAAGTTCCGACTGCCAGCCCGGCGTTAATAATCAAATGAGTGGACAGGTATTGTACAATATGCCTGACGTCCACGAGTCTCATAACGGGCGCCACCCGTTCATTGAGCTCCGGGAACGGGTGGAAGAGGTATACGTGCGACACGAGCACCCATAGTATGGAGATGACCCTCAGGCCGTGGATGTACTTGAACTGACCCTCTCTGGATTTATTCTTGTTGATTTTGAACAAGGTCGCATTGTTCTTGGTGAATGAGAAACAAGTCAATAGTTTCACTATAAATGACTTGTTATTTGGGATATAAGTGGACACAAGGGTTCCCAATATGATCAGCGATACGTTCACCGCTATTATTGCACTGTATTTAGGGTTTAAAGCAAATAAAAATTGATTAATTAATTAAGAGTTTGAAATTAGTTTAAAACTACAATTAAATATCAAATATATACAAATGCATAGATTTTTGTGTTAAAGTTGTGAAAACTTTTGTTTAGTATTAAAAACTTTTACGTGACATTTCTTAACTATAATATTTTAATTATAAATCAAATGTATATTTAAAAATCTGTTAAAAATAATAAAAATTTAATTATGTAAGATGCTATGCAAGATTATTCTGTGATATGTTTTGTGAATAAATAGAAATGCCTGTCCTCCCTATCCCCAACTCAAATAAGTCGTCTAAACCCCATAATTAAATGAATTGTATGTGACATACATAGCGACTTTCTGTCCAAATCTGATAGGCTTTCCATCGATCGCTTCTTTGGTCGCGCAATACTTGAGCCGAAGTCTCAGTTCAGCGAATGAGGTCAAGGCTTTCCAGGGGAACGGTAGATAAGACACCACACAAAAAAACACAGGTTTGCACATTAGGTTAGATAATGAATATATAACACATGTACTCAATATATGACATTACTTTCCCTGTATTTGTCAGCACTTACTCTGATTGAGAATGAGCTCCAGTTCCTCGTCGGCACAGACCGACGGCAAACAAATACCATTACTGATGGGTCCGAAGCCATTCATTTTGATCCAGTAGTTGATGGCCGGCTCGTAGGCATAGCCCTCGTATTTGGTGTTATTTAGGCTAATCGGATGGACCGGCTCCGGGGGTCTCAGCTCCAGGAAACAGTACTTACCGGAGATGTCGAACCGGTTATGGGTTCCCGAGATTGCCAGACACTGGTCGTAGTCGCCGTACTCGGCAAATGAGCCGGATAACATGCCTGAGGGCCACCTCCCATTTGACTCCCACACTATTCAGTGATTTATAATTAATTTATGATTATTTTTGGTGTTAATGTTTTGAAGCAACTTTTTATATGAGTTTATAATTGAGTTATTTTTGTTTGATTTTGTATATTTAATATATTATTAGAAATTATCGTTAAATTTATTAACATTATGTAATTAAAAATTATATTTAATATGTTTACATGAAACTAAAATTAAAAGTTTCTATATATAACTTTAAGTATAATTTAATTTTAGTATAATTTATTTATATTATTTATAATATTTAATTTATAGTATTTAGTACAAACTGTAAAATTTATATATAACTTATTAAACATACTAGTACAGTATACAAGTGTACAAAAATATTAAACTGGTATGTAAACGAGCTGATTTGTATTTAAGAATCCATTATAAAATTTAGATTAATTTTTAATTAATTTTATTTAAATTATAAACAAATCTAAGACAGGTCTTACTTTTTAAAGCCCAGTCATCCTTCGTAGCCCTCAATAGTAGGCTTTCAATACTAGTCACACATTTTGCGGACACATTTAGCCGCGATTTGACGGCATTTAACTCAACCAACAACTCATTGGTTTTGGGACTCACAAAACTTTCAAACTTATCCAGCAATTTCACCCATTTTTGTGTGTATTCGCTGTCATCGGTGGTGTCCGTTAAGTTACCCGGGCTAATAGCGGTGAACGTATCGCTGATCATATTGGGAACCCTTGTGTCCACTTATATCCCAAATAACGAGTCATTTATAGTGAAACTATTGACTTGTTTCTCATTCACCAAGAACAATGCGACCTTGTTCAAAATCAACAAGAATAAGTCCAGAGAGGGTCAGTTCAAGTACATCCACGGCCTGAGGGTCATCTCCATACTATGGGTGCTCGTGTCGCACGTATACCTCTTCCACCCGTTCCCGGAGCTCAATGAACGGGTGGCGCCCGTTATGAGACTCGT